CTCTCCCAGTGACCTGGTTTTCTAAGCAGACCAGACCTTCCAGCTTCCGCCTAATCCTGTCCAAAGTCTGAACCCATCAGTGAATCAAATGTCTTAGTTAGGTGAGAGCTGGATACTCACAAACACAGCCAGAGGGGAGCCTTGCTAGTCTCCAAGATGTCTGTCTCAACGCAATCAAGTGGACTCAAGATTAACTATCAGGAGAGGTTTACCGAAGATAACTGTATTAAAGCAGGAAGATTGCCTAAGCTAGCAAAAGACAATGAAAGAGGGCAGTGGACTGGAGGGAGCCATGGAGCCCAAGATACAGAAGCCAGAAACGGAGCATCCAGGAGGGAAGTGGAGAGAGTGAGGCTGGAGAAGCCAACACTAGGTAAGTTTCTAAAAGTCTTTGACAGTTCAGAATGAGGAAACCAAGCGGCTAGAGGACCGAGATTCATTTTTCATAACTTTGTGAGTACAAAAGGAAGAGGAGACATGCTGCAGGAGATCAAAATTAACAAAGAAACAAGTGAAGGAGTGAAACAAACTCCATTTTGAGAAAGAATTCCATTTTAGACAGGACCTAACTAGAGGGGCGAATGCAGCCCAGCAAAATCATAGATGTTCCCAAGAAACTGTGCCAGCCCTGGTCAGAGTGACCCACCAGGGTACCCAAACAACACATCTGCTTGCTTCAAATGTCCTTGGAGGTATCTGATTAAGTACTGTTTGGAAATTCCTCTATACCCCAACCAACAAATTCAAAAGCTGTATACTTTTACCCAATCCTGGAAGTCCAAGGTTTGTGCCACCTTGCCTTGTAGTTTTCCCTTGAGAATCCCCTTACCCTAAATTAGCCTTAGGGCCATCTTCCCCCACTTGCTGCGTGTGACGGATTACAGCCCGAGTTGGCTAACTTGTCAATAAACCCCAGTGTGTTTGCATCGGATACCGGCTCTGTGGTGGTCTTGTTTGGAGGTCCCATGATGTGGGCATAATATAAGCACATATGTAGGTTAATAGGAGTGGGGAGTGGTGTGAGGGAAGTGCCGGATGGAAGTATGAAACCTCTGGGCCTTGGAAACAAGTTAGGGGTTCTTTTTTAAGCAGATAGAAAGACTGGGTATTGTAAATCCAGGGAGAGCATGAGTTGAAGCAGAGAAAGGTCATCCAGGCTCATGGGCAGAGACCAGCTTGAGCACTGAGTTTTCAGCAGCTCAGGGCCTCACACCCTACAAAGTCTAGATTGCTGACCCCAGGTGCGTGAGTTACTTCCAAGGCGTGAAAGACCTTCACTGAGGGCTGAGCAATGGCTTCTGCGTTAAAATCAAGGTCAAGGGAAACACAGTCACCTTCTGGAAGAATCAGACCAGCAATTTGAGATTAGCTGCTGGTGAGTCAAACCAGCAAGGCCCTTTTAATAGAGCAATTCTGCTCTTCCAGCCAGAGCGGATTAACCCTTAGCTCCCCGGGCAAAGGGTGTCTGTCCTCCTGAGATGTGAGAACGGGTTTCAAAATAGGATAGGTCTTAGCATAGATACGGCTCGCCCTACTTTCTCCCTGTGTGAAGCTGAGAATGTCACTCAGGCTGTCCAGGATCTTTCCTTACAAATGAGGTCGACAGGGCAGAGGATGTAGCTGAGCAGGAGACTTCTAGATTGTGCAAGGCCCTGGGTTCAATCCCCAACAGAGAAAGAGAAGAAAATGTCTTACACATTAGAACTGTGCACTTTTCTCAAATCTCTGTGTGTGTGTGTGTGTGTGTGTGTGTGTGTGTGTGTGTGTGAACAAAGTGAGATATCATGTGAAAGTAACTCCTGGGAACTTGTCGGTGAGAATGGATTTCATTTTCTGCAGTCCCTTCTTTTCTTCCCCTAGAAGAAAGAGAGTAAAGAAAGGAAGAAACAATGGCAGCTAAGATTTGACCTCTAGCCCATTTTCCAGTCTATGGTCTTGGGCAATCTCGTTTTGAGCCTCCTTCCCCTCCAGAGGAGAATGCAGATAACATCAATCTCAAGAAAGGTGTGAAACGATGGCCCCTTCGCTCACGGGAAGATTATCAGTTTTGCATTCTTGCCTGATTCCATGGCCACCAGCACTTCTTTCTGTGGGGTGACACCCTGTGGTCCCAGGCAGGTGGCCCCATGAGGGGCATGAGTGTTGTTTTCCATGGGAGAAAGCATGGGTTTTCCTGGGAACCCTAGGTGTTGGCCTCAACACAGGCACTTGTTCCCTTTTCCCTTAGTCTCTGGGGTACCATCCTGAGGTGGGGTCCACAGCTGAGAGTACATTATGTCTTGGGGGGTGGATGTTTCTAGGATCTAGAGTTTTGTTTGAATTTCATAAAACTAATATGAGGGCGAGTCCTGTAGTCAAACACAGAAGTATGTCTGCGGATAAATGGTGAAACGTTTGGAGAAACAACGATTATGAAGTGTTCCATCAGTTCGGGTCTAGTTTTGGTGCTAAGTGGGCCTATAGCAAGCTTGGGGGCAGTCTTTCCATTGTGACACTATCTGGGTCCCAGAAGTAAGATGACACATGGACTTCACCCAACAGGAAACTCTGGGAGCTCAATTTACTAGGGATTCCACCACCCACAAATCAGAGTGGGAAACTGGATTCAGAGGGTCGACGTGAAGTTTCTCAGTCTCTACATTACATTGGCGTCCAGGATAGGGGACGAGAACAAAAGGATGTGACAACTAAGAGGTCAGAAGAGAACCATGCTCAGCACCAGCTGAAGACTGAAGCTTTTGCTCACTGTCCTAAATTATTATTTACTTCATGTCATTTTGATATTAGCCCTGGCCTGTTGTATTGCCCCCATTTTACAGGAGAAACTGAGGCCCGGAGAGACTAAGTGCCTTGCTCATCTGAGAATCAGGAGTCTAGTAGATCCCTAGAATCTTAGTTCCTACACCGAAGTGAGAGTATCTCTAAGTCAAACTATCTTGTCTACAGTTGGAATTTCTGTTCAATCCTGATAGTCTTGGTTTGCTCGTCTTTAAACTTCCTGTCTCTTCCTTATAAACTTGGTGACTGCATGGCTTGATTGGTGGTGGCACGGAGGACGAGTTCAGCATTTGATTCACAAGAGCCCCAATAAGTCCTTATTGGAAATTGAGTGGATGGACAGATGGGTTGCTGTGGGTGGAGAGATGCATGGTTGTCTAGGTAGATGGTTGTATGCATGTATGAATGGGTGGGTAGGTATATAGGTGAGTGGGAAGGTGGGTGATTGGTGGATGAGTGAGTGAGTAGATGGGTAGGTAGTTAGGGATGTGGGTGAGTTGACGGTTGAGTGTTGAGTGGGTAGATGGATGGTTAGATAGAGTCAGAGGTGGGTGGATGAGTGTGAATTGGTGGGTGGTTAGAGAGATGGATGAGTGAATAGATGTGTGACTGTTATAAAGATACTTATAAGATGGTCCTTATCTCCTAACTCTTGAGTTTTTGGATTCTCTCTCCAACATAAAATCTTCCATTACAGACCAAAGTGATCAAACATCCCAGCTTGTTGCAACTAACACAATACCACAACCTGGGTAACATAAGAAAGAGACTTTGGATCACAGTTTGGCCTATGGTCATCAACCCACATCTAGGGATGACTTACTTGCTGGCAGTGTCCTGAAGTAGAACAAAACGTCACATGCCGAAAAACGAAGGTTATTTACTGACATGTGGTCTAGTCTCAGCCATGTCTCATAAAAGTCATCAGAAGTCAACTGTAAGGGCTCCAACCTGAAGGCTTTTTTATTGTTTTGTTTGTGGTGTGTGTGTGTGTGTGTGTGTGCTTGTATGTATGTGTTCATCCATGCACATATATATGGAGAGCATAGGAAGATATCAGACACCCTGCTTTATCATTTTCTACCTTCCTTTCTTGATACAGAGTCTTTCATTGAACCTGGAACTCAAGTTTCTGCAAGGCTGGCTGACTTCTGCCTATCTCGATCCCCTATTGCTGGGATTACAGAAACATGGGGCCAATGACTGGCCTGGAAGTCACTCTGTAGACCAGGCTGGAAATGAACCCAGAGATCTACCTGCCTTTGTTTCATCGGTGCTAGGATTAAAGGAGTGTGCTGCCATGCCGGGTATTGACTTCAGATTTTCAGACCATACAGTAAATGAAAACTGCTGATAGTAAAGTGCCTTTTGTTTCCCTCTGACCTGATTTGGTGTCATCTACTTCACAAGTTGACGCTGTTCCTTCTTCTGCTTCTATTTCCATCCACACATCAATAGTCATTGTTATTCCCCTGTGGTGGTTTGAATAGGCATTACCCCATAGACTCATGTGTTTGAATGCTTGGCCTATAGGGAGTGGCACTATTAGGGGGTGTGGCCTTGTTGGAATAGATGTGGCCTTGTTGGTGGAAGTGGGTCACTGTGGGGGCAGGTTTTGCTCAAGCTACACACAGTGTGACACAGAGCCTCTTCCTGCTGCGTGTGGGTCAGGACGTAGAACTCTAGCTACCTCTCCAGCTCCCTGCCTGCCTGCATGCTGCCTTGCTTCCTGTCATGATGATAACAGACTAAGCCTCTGAACTGTAAGCCAGCCCCAATTACATGTTTTCCTTTATAAGAGTTACCTTGATCATGGTGTCTCTTTACAGCGATAGAAACCCTAACTAAGACAACCCCAGTTGTCTTCACTCATGCATCCAGGGTCACGGTTCCATTTCCCAAACTCTGCAGTGTACACCTACCCAGCACTATTCCAAAGACTCCTGTGAGTGGCTCGTTTGGGGCAGTGAAGCCTTGAACTCCACACTCTCCTCAGGGATCCATGGTGATACATTATAGATAATGCCTCCATCCTAGCCCACAGTTTTCATCACGTGACCATGCCTTATTTATGTTTCCCCAGTGGATGATAATCAGCTATTGCCAGCAGGGCTTCAGTGAATATTCTTCTCCAGGTCTTCACAGACTTACGTGTTTCTTTTTATTCTGAACTGACTTTTAGATAATCATCTCACTGGTTGTAATAAGAAAAAGATACTCAGTAAAACTTAAAATATTTATTAGTACGAATCATACTGATGGGTTAAAACCAAAAGCAATGATACAAATGAGCGCGGGGGAAATGCTTTACCACGGAACAGAGGACACGATGCGAAGGTCCTAGGTGTCTGGGGAGGGATCGTCTACCTGTAAAACCTGGGTCCAGCCCAAGTGGAAACCCTTCACCAAAACACCAGGAAGGGTGACAGTCTGTGTGACGGTGTGACTGCCGGGTCACTGGGTGAAAGGCATGATCAGGTCTGAACACAGCCAGAGCTCTTGGCCGACGCTGGCTTCTTACTCCCTGCCCTGAATGCCGCAGAGTGGCAAGGAGGACCGCCTATACAGACCATAGTCCTTAGCGGCAGAGGAAACATTTCCATCCTCCAACCCTCCCTCGGGAAAGAGCGGGATTCCCACTGGGCACAGCCCTTACTATTGGCTAGGATGCAAGTTAGTCTGCAAGGCAACATCATATTCAGTACCCTAATGTACCATTTTTTTTAACTAAAAAATGGCAAGTCGATTCTGTACCTATATAAAACACTTGCACAACTCCATTGCTGTCCTTAGGGGTTTCTACAGAGAAAGCATCCCTCACTTACAGACACAGGTCATGAGCCAACCCAGCCACTCTGAAAAGGATTACATGTAGGTGTAAACCAACATCCATCATATTGACACATATACAAACCTGCCACATGGGAGAGGAAAGAAAATGAGAGTTGGGAAGGAAATTTTGGGAACGATGATAAGGATCCTAGATCCTGTTGTCTGAAGCAATTGTAGGTCTTTACATATGTTTCTATGATTAAAGGTTATCTGTTAAAACAACCCAAAAGGAATCCCAGGCCAAGGGGAGAAAGGCACCAAAGGCCACAGCATCTACCTGCAGAGAAGGCCCAAGATGGTAGGAATGTTTGTGTGTCCCAGTGCCACAAGCTTGCTTTGTTCGTGGTAGTGACACATAGTTAGGTATTCTTAGCGTCTGCCTGGCTTTGACATCAGTGGTTCTGCAGCCTGGGAAGAGCGAGGTTTCATTCCCTCATGTGCTTTTCCAGTATACCTAGGGTGGCTCCTGGTCAAGGTGAAGCCCAGACAGACTGCAAAGCCACTCCTAAGTCATGACATTCTCTTCTGGGAACAGTACCATCTCGGCTTGGAAATCTAGACAATCAACGAGACAAATGCAAGCTCCCAGGGAAAGATTCCCTAACACAGGGGAAGGTTCAAACACAAGCTTGACACTACCTGGAGAGAGGCTGTTTCAGTTTCGATTCTATTTTTTGCTTGTTTGTTTCACCTGCAGCGAGTGGAGTAATGTCAGCACATAGAATCCTGTCAGCCAGTGATGTTGGCAACACGGGACCGGCACTGACAGTCCTTGAGAAGGCCCTGTCATCACATACAGATGCCATCTGCTAACAGTGCTTGAGATGCCTGTCATGGGACACTGCAAGACATTCTTGAATCAAGACAAGGAGTTTTCTATCCTCCATATTTTATAATTAAATTAGCTCCCAAGTTGGGAGATGCAGGAGGAACATACGTGGAAGTCCACATCCTGGAGTTGACAACCACAGCCTGTAATTGGAACCTGGCTCTGTCTGCTTGATGGCCTTTCTCTCTAAGCTGGCAAAGTTTAAAGTACTTCTGATTTTATACTTTTCGGGGTCCAGAATTTTAAATCTGGCTGGTTTGCTATAGCCCACGATTAGCTGCTATTAATAGAAGTTTGCCCTACAATTTAGACTCAACATCCTCTGACTAGCTTTTTCCCTTAGACAAGACACTATGGCATAGTCTCCTAGTAAAACAATGGTCCGTGAATTAATCATCTCCAGGAGGAGAAGCTCATTGCAATGGCGAGGATGCAGGCTGGGTGGCACCCTGGAGGCTATTTATACCCTCCACCTACCACTGCTTACATACCAACAACTGAACTCTTTTAAACCAGGCCTCCCATCCCCGAAATCGTATGTCATGGTCTAGTCTGATTCGGTTGGTTTATGTATGATTATATCTTAGAAAAATGTTCATCGATTACATGAAAAGGGACACGGATAGTAGTTTCTATTACTTTTGTCTCTTTTGCAGAAGATCAGTTCTCAGTTTAAGTGATGGTCCAGCTATACTTCTGATTTCCCTCAGAAAACTAATAAAGGCTTGCTCCCAAAGCCAGCTAAGAGTGAACCTTCTGTATTGCCTTTGCCTTTTGGTGGACTGGCCAGTGAAGGCCCTGGCCCTGGAGAAGCCACGAGACTCTGACTACGTGACATGGGAAGTCAGAGGAGAACAGCACGGCAAGGTTTGTGAACAAATCCAAAGATTTTTAGTATTTTTTTTTAACAAAAATGGCAACTATACCTATGACCAAGTAAACCCCCTGCTGTGTGCATTTCCTAAACCAAAGGCCATGTTGTGGCAGTACGGTGAGTTTTCCAGAGTTTTCTATAATCTCTTCTCAGGGAACTTCCCTGCTTGGCTTTCTGCAGGTCTCCCAGCATGCAATGCTGCTCGCTCTCGCACAGGCAGTTAGTCACGAGGGCAGGGTCCTTCTGTGCGCACTGGACGCTGGAGAGGGCTCCGGCTTCTTCCTTCGTGCTCCATGGGCCACGGCCCTTGGGTCAGCAGCACCGCCGGCTGGTTTGCAAGGCCTGGGTCCCCAGCTTGATCCCTCCGCTGTTTCCATTTTCATGGGGATCCAAGGGTGGGATCTGGCGACCTGCGGACAAAAAGGAAGCCGAAATTGAAGTTCTCTTATTTTAAAAGGTGGGCCTGTTCGGGTGAAGAAACTAGCAGCACTTGGGGGAGGGGCTACCTCTTTCCTCTTTTCCTTCCTGGTCTCTTTTTTCCTCCTTCCCTCCAGTCTTCCTTCCCCCCTCCCCCACTCCTCTCTTCTCCCCTTCTTTTCTTTCCAGTTCTTCCACATGACGTCACATTCACGTTTAAAAGGTGAAGAAAAGTACCAGCAGTTTCGGGGCCAGGCAAACATCCCAGGAACAGGAGAAGGAATTCACCCGCTCTGCACATCAACACGTTTCCTCAACTATTCTGGGCCCTCTTCTTTTCCCGTGGAGCCTCCCTGCTTTGAGACCTGGACTTCAACAGTAACAGCGAGCATCTGTCTGTCCTTTCTGCCTCCCACAAAGAGAAATGGGCTGGGAACTGCAGTTTTCATGGACCTACCACCGAATGGCTCGCGGCTCACCAGCCCTACACTGTGAGGGCACTTGGCTCATTAGCCAGAAGGCCCCAGAGACGCATTTCCCAGGAGGCACTATTTTAATGTCATACACAAGCAACCTTATTTTAATAGCCTCATTGAATTTTAACTTTTGTAAATAAACACAAAGTAACAAAAAAAAACCAAAGGGAAAGGGAATAACAACAGCAAACCGGCTGGGTTCTCCTGAATGGACTGTGCTGATGGTCTCTGTGGTTGTACCAAAAACCACCAGCTTGTGTGTGTGACACAGGAAGAGCACCAGGCGTGTGAAGGGCCTTCACCTGGGCAGAGCTGCTTTTCTAACACACGGGGAAATCTAGGAACAGCCTGCGCAGGCAGCCTCGCCGCTTTGATCCTTCCCAGCAAGTCTTATAATATCCGCTGTCACCACCACGTTCTGTGACTTTGCTGAAGGCTCTGTCAAAACCTTAGTGGGTCTTACTATAACCCACACATGCATTTTCCGGGGATCTCAGCACTGTATTCTTCCCACTGTCTCTTTTTCTTTCTCTCTCTCTCTCTTCTATTTTTCTATGCGTTGTGAAAAACAAAAGGAACACTAGCTCTAAAATGGAAGATTAAAACACACAAACACACAAGTGGTTGAAGGGGAAATTGTTTCCAAAGAAAAAAGACTCTTGCTTTTGCTTTTATTTTTATGGCAAACATATGCTCCCTGTTTAGACCATGTGCAGAGCCAGGAGACCCAAAGGCAGAAGGCCTTTAGCATAAGAGGCGAGGTGTGACTTCACAGGCTTTATTTGCAGAGCGCGTTGTGCAGACAGAGTGATGTAGATATTCAATAAAACTCAAGCACAGACGTAAACCCTCTGGCATCCGACTCAAGGTTAACAGCAGAAATGACCGTCCGATACAGACGGAAGTAGAATTCTCAACATCTACGGCCACGTCGGCTATCTTGCATGGCCAATGAGCTACACAAAACTTTTGTAGGCCATTCTCAAGAGTTCAGCAGAAACAACAGGATCTTCAGTGTTGTACTTCCCTCTTCGAGACATGTCCCCACTCCTAGTCACGATTAAAAGTAAGCTAAAAGTAAAATTTTAAAAAATGCCCTTTTTATTTACTACTTTAGTCAACCTAAAGTAGTAAATAAAAAAGAAAGCGCCCGCTCTAGTGATCCTGCCAATAAAAACTGCCTGTTCCTCAAGCCAGTTCAGAGGCCCAACAGTGTCAAGCTACACCATTACTTAAATAAACACTGTTTCATAAGGGCTTTAGCTTTTGCATCTGAATTTTTGGTATCAGACTGACTAATACAAATTGGTTGACTTAAAAGATAGGAACTATTTCCTGATGAATATGGGGTATTAAATGTTAGTGTGTGAGCCAGGCAATGGTGGGGCACGCCTTTAGTCCCAGCACTAGGGAGGCAGAGGCAGACAAATCTCTGTTGAGTTCAAGGCCCTCGGTCTACAGAGCGAGTGAGTTCCAGGATAGTCAAAGCTACCCAGAGAAACCCTGTGTTGAAAAGCCAACAACAAAAACGACAAATTAGCGTTTGTGACAATGACAACCAGGTCCAACAGACACTTTCCTGCTGTCTCCTGTGAGCACCAACAGCAGCTGCACTGCGCTGGCCTTTCAGACCCCCTCCACAGGCCTCCCTCTACGTGAAGGACCTCAATAGCGAGAAAGCACAGACATGTGATGCTTATTAAAGTAATATAGGAAGAGCGGAAACCTAGAAACAGAGTGCGCACCGTGAGCACGCCAAGCGACGGGTGTCCACAACCATCCACACCGCCATCCTTCCTCCACCTTTCCTGCTCTCACCTTTTCCCCAGTAGACAGCTGTGTGTGCAAACAGCCTCCTTGCCTGTGCTCAAAACCGTTGGCAATGCTTTCAAAACCAGTTGCCAAACGTGGCTGCTCAGAGCTGCCAGATTCTTTGGCCATTCATAATATCTGGAGCCTTGTGAGAATTAGATACAATGGTCCTCCTGTTAGAGCACAGAGCCAAGTCCCGAAGGCACCCACTGAAGTTCCTGGGTGTCTATGTGCAAGGACAAAGAACTCTGCCAAGGACATACAGTCAGTCACAGAAGCGGGGAGAGTTTGTTAAGAAAGAGATAGAGACTTCTGGGAATGAGATAGCGAGCTGGGAGAAGGTGTAGGCGGAAAAGCGCTGGCCACTAGGCTCCGAACCCTTTCAAGGTCATTCACACAGGCATGGGCTTTTCTCCCTCTGGCTGCTTGTAGTCTGGGTGGGGAAGGATTTTCAGCCTTTTTAAATTATTGTTGTTGACTACACCCTCTCCTCACACTGCTCCTGTTGCCACACCTCCTTAATCCACAGAAGTTATGCTTCAAGACCAGGTCCCCAGAGATCAGCTGAAACCGTAGAGAACACCAAACACTTAGCGTCCCTCACTCTCCTAACCACGTACACTGAGGATAAGGCTTCCCCTGTGAATTAGATATATTAAGGGATTTATAAAGCAACAAGTCATAAATTGGAACGGTTATAACAGCAGGTAGTATTGGAAGTTAAAATGTGAATTTCTTTTCTGGGATTCCCATTAAGCAGTGCTTTCAGGCTATGGTTGCTACTGACACCATGGATGAGAGAGAGCGGCTATGTTTCTCCAAGACAAAGTCAGTTTCTTCAGACTTCATTTTTTATCTTTGGGTAGAAAGCATTTGGAGATTTGAGAATCAGTTAAATGAGCCTGGACCAGTTATATAGAATCTGTGAGCAATTCTCCCCTCCACTATGAAAACCACGTGAGACAGTAAACTTGACAACTCCTAGACACCATATACGGCCGTTACTGACAGGCATGGGATGCCGGAAAACGGTGGGGATTCCCTGCAGTAGCAGGCTCCAGCCAGGGCTTAGTGGTTTTGCATGGGAAGAAATGCCCAGGGTCCATGGCCAGAAGGCATGGTTGAGTCTCGAGGTTCAGTCAGAAGGGAATCCTATTGATTTGGAGACCACTCTGCTTGGGAGCATCACATAGTTCCAACTTCAAACAGAGGGCTGTTGAGGCACACCCACTTTAAAGCGAGACAGAGAAGAACTGAATCCCAGCAATGAGCCAAGCACCCTTCGAGAGCTATGCAGACATCACCGTGGAAACACCACAGTGCCAGCTCCCGTGTTGTGCTCTGAGGCATTCAGGACTTGCTGAGTAAATGTTCCCAAACAAAAGAATGGTTCTGGAAAGTGGCCACGGCATTCTGCACCAAGGAGACTAATGGGATTTATTTACCGGGACACGGAAGTGAGCTAATACACACAGATGACATCTACACAGGCTCAGACTGTCCTCTGAAAGTTTCTCCTCCTGCAGAGTGTCCTCCGAGGGTGCAACCTCCACAACAAGACGTTCTTGAACACGAACCCTACGCCAGTGTGTTTATTCTAACACAGTTTGGATTGTGTAAGATTCTCTTGGGAAGGAGTTAAAAAGACTTTTTTTTTTTTTTTCCTCCTAGTTTTCCTGAAAGTCGACAGTCCGGGAGAAAAACATGTTTTACAAACACTTCCTTTGGAATGCAAAATGTGGAAATGAATTCCAAGCCTCTGAGTTTAGGCCAGCTCGGCTAGGGCAGCTGCGCTAAGGCACACAAAGAATGGAGCAGTGTGTTCCCTACAGCTGCTCTTACTGATAAGCCCCACTTCGCAGGCTCCAGCTTCTCTGCTGCAGTTCTGCCGTCAGCCCCTCCTTTAACTCCATCCTCCGACGGCTCGGGTCTCTTTTCTTCCGTGTCAAGTGTGTCTAGAAGTTGCTACGTAACTGTCGCTGATCTTGATTCTCTGAATGGACTGGTGGCTTGATCAGGCTTGCTAGGACTCGGCAGGACTTAACTCTTGACAACGGCCTGGAAGCTTCTGCTTTGGGAGAGGCGGTCTTTCTGGAACACGGCTGTGGCTTACATGTGAGCAGGGGTCACTTCTAGCAATTGTCCTCTGGTTACTATAACAAGAAAACCTTTTCGTTTACTTTCAGTTTTGAGACAGGGTCTCTCTTTGTAGCCCTGACTGTACTGGAACTCACTATGTAGCTCAGTCTAACCACAAACTCAGAGATCCATCTGCCTCTTAGGAAGAGCTGAGGTCAAAGGCGTGCACCGCTCACTCCCCCACCAACTTGATAGCTATGCTTTGCGGATACCCAAGGGAAGTCTGCTCTTTTCTAAGTAGAAAGGAGAAGTGGATGGGGCGGGGGCAGAGAAGAGGTGCAGGGAGAAAGGACTAAGAGGAAAGGAGGGAAGAGAAACTGCAGTCAGGATGCTAAATAAATAAATAATAAAAGGGAAACTTTCACCATTAGGATAAAGAGCCTGAGGTGAGGCAAACCTCAGAAAGCTCAGGTCCAGGAACCTGAGAGCTACACTGAGGGCTATGAGAGAAGTAGGAAGGAAAGAGGCAGAGAGAGCCGTGAGGAAACCCCAGGCAAGACCCGATAACTGAGCAGGAATGGGACTGTGAAAGGAGAGACCGCCAGACCCAGAAGTTAAGGTAAATC